TGTTTCTCATTCTTCATGCTTTTCTAATCAGTTGTTCCCATTTCACAAGTCAGAAGACAAAAATCTACGTTTGTGGCTTCCAGGTTTAATCCAGATCGATGAAGCTAAGCAGGCTTTCTTTTCTTAATTCAACTTCACCATTTACGAAGGTGTTGAAAGGGAAGTCCAGACTCTGATGGACCCTTATTACTCTAAGGAGACAGGTGCTGAAACTGGGACACAGGAGGCAATCGGGTGGCTGATGCAGAGACTCTTCCCTCAGCAGCACTGGCTCTGCAGAGACAGCAGCAAGGAGGACTCCTTGTGGTCTCTGATGGATGCTCACCCATACACAGGGCTGCAGAGTGGGGCCTGAGCCTACCTTCACCCCCAGGGTGCCTCTGTCCTTGTGCTGCTTTTCCTTCCCCTGCCATGGAGCAGCAATCTGAACCCTCAGCAGCACTGGACTCCAGCTTATGGAGGCTGAAAGACATGGTAGTGGACTTTTTTCAATCTGTGTAGTTACTGTTGAGTTAGTGCAGTCATTTGAAGAAAAATTTCCTGTTATTCCCTGGCACAAGAACAGTACAGGTTTGTTCCATAACCTTGTCCCTCTCCCTCTGGCTGCTAATCACGTAGCAACCAAAATCGTATAAGCTGAAACACGTATATCCCCTCACCAATTCAGTGGGAAAGTGAGTCAGTAATGGTGGAAGATAGACAGCTACCAGAAGACCATTTTTCCATCAAGACCTGGAGCCCAGAGTGCTTCAGCTGACTGCTTTAGGATGAGCTGAATCGCTCTCCAGGCTCTACAGCTTGCACTGGAGCCACCAAAGTGCAGGTGGTACAGCTTGACTCTGAATCTCACTGTGAGAGACTGAGCGTGGGATTCAGGTACCTAGATATAAATATCTTACATCATTTGATGTGCTACATAATCTCACCTAGGGTCACGCACTGCAGATCTGGAAAGACTTCCCTAGGTCCTACATCGTGTCTGCCAGTCCCCTGTTGGTGTCTCTGGCACCAAAGACATTGTTGGATGGTGAGACCCAGCTATGCCTAGGCATCTAGTCCTGCTCCAGAAGCTGCCAAAATGCAGTCTATAGCAGGGCAGAGCTTGGCCAGCTTCCACACTAAAAGACTGAGCCATCAGTAAACTCAATTTTTTTTTATATATATAATTTTAATTTTTTTTTTTCAAAATTGCCCAGGATGTAAATGCTGCTCATGTCCCAGCCAGTTTTGCAGTCAGAGCGCAGGGTTTAGGCTTAGCTGCTACGGCATTTTTATTGTTTCTCTGGAAAAAAAACACAAACATTTGATTTAGTCCTGAGCACAGTAATCTTGCTTTGATTACACATCTCCAAATAAATATGTGGAACAAAGTTCGGCCTTACACAGTTTAATTATCCCATATTAACAACAAGAGGTGGGAAAAGCACAGCTCAGGAAAATGGCATTACAAGGCTGGACTGAGAAGAGCCACTCACAAGTGGCAAAGAAGGGAAATAATTCTGCTACAGCTTCCAAGAAGAAGCTAATTCAAAACTGTTTAGAAAACAAGTATAAATTGTTAAATAATTTGATGACACAAAAAAATTTCCTCCAAATGATCCTGTTGTTTCGTTTTGTTTCGTTTTGTTTTTTTTTTTTAAATTTATTTAACAGGCAAAATTTTTAGTGGAATAACGGTCTGTTCGCTATAATTTACACACTTGATTTAAAAACAAAACAAAAAACAATCCACAGCGATGCCATAAAACCCATGTGTCATTAGCACCTTTGTAATATGTAAATAATACATTGGCTAGCTCTCTAATGCAATTTTAATGGTATATCCTCTCTTACCGCAGGATCAGCCAAAAAAAAAAAAAATCCAACAAAAATATCAGCTCATTCCCAGGTTTAAACCTGAGCCTCAGTGAACAGACTTGGTGGTGATGTACCAACAGCTTTGTTGCAGAGACAGGAACGTTGAGTTGCAAAAGCCACAGCCTTTCCTCATTCGAGAGCAGTCAGAGGAGAGGCCATCAGCACTGTCCCTGCCCTATCTGCCACCTCCTGCCTGCATGGTCACCTTGCAAGATGCTGGACAGACAATACACGTCTGCTTGTGACCTTCCATCACACACAGTCACCTACTTAGGCATAGAGGCATCTGCATTTTCTGGAGGGCAGCTTCTGACCATACCCAAGGCTGTACTTGTAGGTTTACTGTCTGCCCAGATGGCGGATCTAATTTGGAAAGTAATCTTAGGCCACCTTTCCAAAGATTGCAAATACCCATGAACAGACTGAGGCAAAAACTGTTACAGCTTTTGGTGATCGAGCTTGCAGGGCAGAAATCCTGCAAATACACCCTTCTTTCTTATGTTTTGTTTCAGGTGACTTTTTAGGCACGTTCACATAGGGCTGGCTTCTGTAAGAGGTGGCAGCTGTAGGAGCCTCCATTTGATGACTGTACTCATAGAAACTGGGAGGCTCTAAACACAGGTTTTGATCTGGGTCTGCAGCCTGTGCCTTGTACTCCTCTCCCTAGCGAGAGATTATGCTTGGTAAATTTAACTGGCTAGAGAGAAAATGAGATTTAAGAAAAAGCAGGGAAATGGCACCCACTGAATTCAGGGCACAGAGACAGTGTGGGGTGTCTCCAGGAACAGACTGAACAGACAACCATATGCCAGGGAAAGTGCTGGAGCAAAGGGAATTAGGCTGCATCCACTTTTCCAGGTGGAGAATCTGCAGAGCTGTAGTTTGTGCCTAACCCGTGTAGATCTTTTAATTGCTATTAGAGATGCAGGTGCGTCTCTCATGTTCCTAACACAGACTCTTGGCAATGGCTCCAACAGATATTTAAATGAAAAGCATTATCAAAAAAACCCCTAGATCTCCTTGAACTGCGGCATCTCACCCATTAGAAGTTGGACTAGATGACCTCTAAAGGTCCCTTCCAATGCAATGATTCTGCGATCTCACAGGGGTGAAAGACTCTGAAATGTGTTTAACAGAACATTGTTTTACTTCTACCTTTTGCAAGGTGCACTGGAATGTATCGATGTCTATGCCATCCATGGCACACGCAGACACACATGCTGAGAGATGATCTACAGAGGCTGAGGTGTCACTGTCATGACAGGAATGAAATGTCATATTAATATGGCCCAGTTAACATGTTTGACCTCCATAAAACCTGTGATTGCCATCACATTCATTCACAATGATGTCTCGTGCCATGTTGGGAGGTATCTCTTGAGTAGGAGCTCTGTTCTGCCTTACCACTGGAGGGATGAAAATCTCACTCGGCCTGGACTGGGAAAAATGGTGATGTTAAATGCAATGTGATCAATGTGCTTGCTTAATGCTGAAATATAGCAAGCTGACCCAAGATGCAGTACAGTAACAAATATACCATTGAGAGTTACTTAAAAGTAGTAAGCTTTTCATTTCATGATTATTTTCACTTTGATTAGTCTTTCCATAGCAAGAAACACAGTAAAATCAAATCAAAGAGTTTATTTGCATAGGAAATAGCAAAAATAGCACCACTGAGATCTACACAGTAACAACTTTGTTTAACCCTAGCATATGAACATGTTACTTAATTTCGTTTTTCAGTAAAGCAGAGGCAAATTTTATCTGCTGTTTTCTGGGTGAGAAGAACACTCCAAGGCTGGCAAATGGTTGTCTGGGCTGTAGCCTCAGGATCTGATTCTGGGGTGGTTATAGACAGCTGTGGCTTCTGCTTGGCTTAGGCAGCTTGGAAGCACATGCCATGTGGTGAATGTGCCAGTAGGGCAGCGTGCCTCTTTACCGACTCCAAAAGACTTGATGAGCTTTCCAAACACATCCAGCACTTGGTGCCTGTGTCAGGTTCATTACTCTGATCTCTCACTACAAACTGCTTTGTGCAGAAGAGTTTTGAAAATGCAGCTGCTTTGCTGGCTGGCACATAAATCTGAGGCCTGATCATCTCTCCAATTCCCCCACCTTTGTGGGTGGGCATGTCTTGGCCAGAGGGTTAAACTCACAAATGATCTCTTGTGAAGGTCTTTTCAGATTCCCCTCTTGACCTTCTTTTTGAATTCTCAAGTTGATTTTGGCAATTAGCTGATAAGGGAGAAGGGACAGTGTCTGACTTTTTGCTTGTGCCCTCAAACACAATTTCCTCCACGTTTCTGAACACCTCTTCATTCTGACCCTTTCATCAGAGATCAAACTCCTCCCAGACCAGCCTGCAGCTTCTCACCTACCCTCTAAAACACAACCTTACCACATTATTGTCATAGTGGAACATCCAAAACGGTGAAGTTGGGTCACCCTTGGCTTCCTGAGATTTTTAATACCAGGGGACTTTCTATGCTGCTCTGGCTGATTTTTGGGCTGAAGCAGTAGTAGGAAGCTCTGTGTGTGCTGACAATGAACAGCAGATTTGGCATCCCTGAGCTGGCAGAGGACAGCATCAAAGCTTTTTGCAGAGGCATCTCCCTGACAGAAGGAAGATAAACTCCATCTGGTAGAACCACACCCTCCAAGTACTGAAGTTCTTGCACAGGGAGCAGTGAGGAGGTTTAGATCATCTCTGTGGTCTCTTCAGGCCTTACTGTGAGATCCCACATGGTCCCATAAAAAGTAGCTCCTATAGGATACAGATTCACTTATGGGCAGAAGAACATTAAATTTAACAGGGATCTTCTGGGAAACACAAGTAGCTGTTCATAACTGTCTGTCCATTGTGAGTTGAATGTACTGGAGACCTCTTTTCCAGCTTTGGCATGGCTTTACCTTCCTCCTCTCAATGTGGATGGCAGATAGCACCAAGAATCCTGTGATCAGCCTGTGTCTCACAGTTAATGCCCCAGACTGTGGGATTTGATTTCAGTCTCAAGGGTGAGTGGTAAATATTTGGAAACAGTTAATCAGATAACAGACAAAAATTTTGGCATCGGAATGGTTTTGCATAAACACCTACACAATGCATCGGTATTATTTGCTTTTCAAAAGAGAACAAAACACTTATTTTTAATGTATTAATATGCCCTGATGTTAGAGAAAACAAAAACAAATTCACATATCGCAAAGATAATAATAATAATTATAATTCATAAAAATAATCTGACCGACCGGCAGCATTTGTTGGCTTGAAAAGGCCTCCCATGAAAGAAACACAGTTGAAGACATCTGAGAGCTTTTGGCAGGCGTGATGAATTCAAGTTTTAAAAACAAGTCTAGGGATACTCCCTGCATGCTAGGGCCCTTTGACATTGGCGGGTCTGGCAGCCAGGCTTGCATAGTAAGCACACTGAGTGGGGTCACACTGTCCATTGGCTCCTGGAGGTCCCTGTGGGCCTGTGAGACCAGGCACACCAGCTTCGCCTTGAGGACCAGGTGGTCCTGGCATTCCATCTTTGGCATAGCCAGGCTCCCCTGGGAGGCCTAAAATAAAAACAAAATGGCCTTGCTGAGTACTGCCCAGGATGCTGTACTCAGCAGCGTAACATCACAGAAGATGGCTTTGCTGACAAACTGAGATGCGGACATCAGCTTCTACAGATTTGGGTCTGGCTAGCATGTATCTACAAGGATATGACAAGTGTGTCTCCTCTGAAAGAAAGATTTCCACCCCCTATGGCATCCTTGGGCTGCACAACTCTGCTATGTCTGCTCTTCCTCTATCACTGTGTTGAAGTTACACAGTTGCACAAGTGAACTAATGACCTATAGTCCTCATAGAGAGGAGATGAGGATGTGAAAGTCTGAGGCAAGAACAAACTTTGGGAGATAACGCATTCATATGAAACATAGTGAGTCCATTGTTATCTTAAGGCAATGCAGGGCTAGTATGCCAAATGCAGACCATGGAGTTATGAAGGCTTCCTGCGGTTTCCTCCCCCAACAAAGCCTGGCAAAGCCAAAACTGATCAATGGCTCCTAATTTCAAATTAGAAACAAAATATATTTGCTACTTCTTTTCCATGAGCACGAGCTGTATGCCTGAGGCACAGGTGTTGGATATGACCTTCTATAACATCTGAAGCTGCCCAGATCTCTGGTTCAGCTTGGTATCAACAAGATTCTGGCAAGGGCAGATAGGACACTTCACAGTGTATCTAGTAATTAAAGCTTCACTTTGGATTTGTCCCAAAGGTCAGTTAACCTAGCTGTTACTGAGAGGGATCATTATACCTGTCAATCAGGCTGAGGAAAAAAAAGGTGGCCAGATATGATGCTAATGATGTATTTCTTCCCATTGGACCACTTTCTAAGGCAATTGTGTATGCCATATTTATGTTATCCTGATCGTCTATCTAATATGGCAGAGATCTATGTCCTTGTAGTGGTTCTGAGTGATGTGTTTTGTGGGATGTTCTGAATAAACACACCTGGAATTCCTGGAGGACCTATTTCCCCTCGTTGTCCAATACCAGTGTCTCCTTTCTCACCCTTTGCTCCTCTTTCTCCTGTAAAGGGGGAAAGAAAAATAATGAACTGATGAGCATGATCTACAGAACTAAAGAATACTACCATAGGTCTTCCATCCACACTGAAGTCAATATATGTGCTAAAAATAGTTCCTAATTGTGGACAGTCCTCTGAGATGGGACAATAAACGGGAATGAACACTCAGCCCACTCCAATTCTGGCTAGAGGTGGAACACACCAGCAATTGCTGTTCACATTCACCACCTCTGTTTCAACAGACTGAGGCTGCTTCTAACACATGCATTTTGAGGACTTCTTAGATGCTACTAACAGGAGATGTGGACGCCAAAGTGTGGTGGACACATGCCTTTATTAGACTGCCCAAACACAAGTTTCACTCACCTTTGGGACCAATTGGTCCCGGTGGCCCTTCAGACCCAGTCTGTCCAGGCCGGCCAGGTTCTCCTGGAGGGCCAGTTCTTCCTGGAAGTCCTTCCTTCCCAGGGGGACCAGGAGGCCCTGGTCTGCCATGGGATGCTTTGACATGTGCAGGCTGTATCTGAGCCAGGAGATAGGCTAACTTTGCTGTGAATAGAGGGAAATGGGTTGTTAGATTAGCAGGTCAGTGCTCCAAGAGATGGAGAGCCAGAACCAGTGGCCCAGTAAAGTCCAAGTATTGTCATAGATCAGTTTCTCAGGTCCACCCATTTGTTGTCCCCACACAAACCTTCCCCATAAGCCATGATGATGCTTCCCTGACCCTCTCTAAAATATTTAAACCTCATTTCTCAATAGCTTTAAACTTCCCCTAAATGTCATACTTAATCTAAACACTTCTTGCATCTTCTGCTTGTCCACCAAGGGTCTGAAATGTCCCTTCCTCTAGCACTGCAGCTGGTGGATTTCTGTCAAACTGAAATCATTGCTGCTTTAAAATGAAGAGCCTATTTCCACTGCTTCTGCTACACAGAGCAAGACACTACATTGCTGCTCTGTAGGAAGAAAGCTTACTTTTCTTGTTCTGGGCTGTTACACGTGTGGAGTTAAAGCTAATGTACCCATCTCTGGCTGCGAAGTCAGAAACTGTAACTAAGGCAGCTCCCTGCGTCAGCATATTCTACAATTTCCAAGCAGGCACATTGCTTGACACTTCCATATTAAGACCCTGAACAGCCTAGAGAGCTCTTAAGATATACTCAGCATCACAAAAACATCCTACAGAATAGCTGGAGAAGGGTTTTCTATCTTCTCTTCATTGATCCAAAATCTTGAATGCTTTTAGATTGGCATGGAATTCAGAGTTTGAGAGTGTGTAAATAAAATCCTTCAAATAAATCACTCCATTAAACCATAATCTATAGCATGGGGGAAAATGCTTACAGCTATGTGTCAGGTGCTCGAAGAGCTGTGTGAGAAGCAGTGCTACATTTCACTGTAGATAGTGTCAGTAGTGGTCTGCAATTCACATACTTTGAGAAGCAGCAGCCCACATCCACTCCACCCCCTCTTCTCATACTGATGAGTATCAAACGTCACAGCCAGAAATCAGGAACCTTCCTCCTCCAGCTGGGACCTCAGAAGCAAGTTTACATCCTATTCTGATTATTTTCTCTTCCAGAGCCCCAAATGAATCTGTTTGAATTTGTATCTTCTCTTGTCCTACCATCTCAGCCCAGACATCTGCAAGAACAAGTCTGCAGCAAAGCTGTTTTGGTACCAAAAAGCCATGAGGTGCTTAGCACAGGCAATGTCCTTAGGTTGAAGAAGGGAGAAATCCCCTGTGCTATTGCTGGGAACATCAAGCTTGGGGAACAGTCAAGTGTGCTAAGCACATTTCATTTTACACATTCCTCCTTCCAGGCAGGCTTGTTGCAACATCGCCTTCTATAAGAAGGACAGGTTCAGGTACCACCACAACTACGGAAAGCATCTTTCATACACTCAGATACATTTTCTGGCTTCCCATAGATGATTACTTACCATCTAGCTGCTTGGCTAATTCCTCTTGGATGAGCCTTCTCAAAGTCTCTAGAGATGGGGGTTCCCCCTAGAGAGTAATAATCACAGCAATAACAAGACATAATAATCACAGCCAGGGGATGTGCAAATTAAACCCTCCACAAAGGGTTCAGTGGGTTGCATTTCATCACCCACAACATACACAGGGCTGCACAGACTACCTGAAAGAAGAATATAAAGGGACTCAAAACATCCACAATTTCCAACCTGCTGGCAACACTTGGGCTCAACGGTGTAAGCAGGGAGCCTGGTCAGAGGGCATAGTTGGAACACAGTCCCTGTCTCCTTCCTAGAGAAAATCTCCCTCCTATATGTTGATAGAAGTAGTAGAAATCAAACCAGGAGACACACCCTGCCCTACTAGATCACAGTGGAAAGCCAACCTCCTTTTTCAGCATTGCAAGTTTCCTTGCAGAGAGGAGCATGTGTGCCCCCAGCATAGTTAAGGTGGGTATCTAGACTTGCGAGCCAGCAGTGTGCACTCGCAGTGCAGAAAGCAAACCACGTCCTGGGCTGCATCAAAAGAAGCATGGCAAGCAGAGCAAGAGAGGTGATTCTATCCCTATGCTCTGGTGAGACCCCACCTGGAGTATTGCATCCAGCTCTGGAGTCCTCAGCACAAGAAAGACATGGACCTGCTTGAGCAGGTCCAAAAGAGGGCCACGAAGATGATCGTGGGGCTGGAGCACCACCCCTGTGAGGGTAGGCTGAGAGAGCTGGGGTTGTTCAGCCTGGAGAAGAGAAGGCTCCGGGGGGACCTTAGAGCAGCCTTCCAGTACTTAAAGGGAGCCTACAGGAAAGGTGGGGAGGGACTCTTGATCAGGGAGTGTAGTAATAGGACAAGGGGTAACGGTTTCAAACTGAAAGAGGGTAGATTAGAATTTAGGAAGAAGTTCTTCACTACACAAATGGTGAGGCACTGGACCAGGTTGCCCAGAGAAGCTGTGGCTGCCCCCTCCCTGGCAGTGTTCAAGGCCAGGTTGGATGGGGCTTTGAGCAACCTGATGTAGTGGAAGGTGTCCCTGCCCATGGCAGAGGGGTTGGAACTAGATGATCTTGAAGGTCCCTTCCAACCCAAACCATCCTGTGATTCTATGATACTGGGTGCATCAACAGCCAACTGACCTTATCTCTGAGAACAGAAGTCAGTTTACATGTATGATACCCATTCTTCCAAATGAGTACAAGGTTCTGCCTGATTTCAGGCTGTTGAAGGGAGATGGGGTATGTGGCTGCCTGGACTTGGTCCCCTAAGCAGCCTCCAAGGGACAGTATCTTTCATCCCCTTTCTCGGCTCTTTGTGCAACATTCACAGAATGTCAGGGGTTGGAAGGGACCTCTGGAGATCATCTAGTCCACCCCCCTGCTAAAGCAGGTTCACCTAGAGCAGGTTACACAGGACTGCATCCAGGAGGGTTTTGAATATCTCCAGGGAAGGAGACTCCACAACCTCCTTAAACGTTGCTGTTGAATAGTTGTAATAGCTATCAAATCTCAAAGCTATGTGAGCAACAACTCTGGATGACACAACTTACAAAATATTATTAAGGCATTTCTGGCAGGTGGAAGGAGAATTTTTCAAGTTGTGGCTTTCCAAGAAAATAAAAACCATGGTTTTAAGGTAGATAGACGCTTGCCTTTGCATAAACTCAAAAGAAAAAATGTAGCTCTCTCTCTATATATATATATCAAATAAACCGGTTTAAGCCAGCAAGATCAACTTTCTTCTCTTTGTAAATCATAAAGTGAGATATTTCACTTGAAATACACTTTTCATTTTTTTGGCTAAAATTATTCTTTGAATTTCTGCCAGTTTTGAAAATACTTCTGGTCAACTTAAAAGACTGCATCCTTCTGTGTATGAGCTACTTGCATGAAAGTGTTGCTTTTCATTCACACCTATCCTTTTAACATCCTAGCATGCAATCTGTGTCCTCTATGTTTATAAAAACCTGAATCAGAAGTTACTCTTCATTAAGAAATGTAGATTTTATTAAATAGCTACAAGACATTTCAATTTTAACCAGTAACATTGCTGTTAAGTACAGAGTTGGTCTATTTGCTGTCTTTTTCCCAACACAAATTTTCCATGAGAAAAAGATGTGTTTGTTGGCGACAAAAGAAACAATTTTATCGTTAAGTACTAACAATTTGTGATGGCTCTTAGTGAATATCACAGTAAATAAACACAATTGTAGAACATACTTTGAAGGCTTACAGATTATCTTTTCAAGTTATAACCCTATTAGTAGCATTAAGTCTCCATAATCATCATTGGATTTCATCAAATCTCTATGCTGTTGAGACACACAAAGAAATGTTTTGTCTAAAATCTACTCAGCTTTTACACCAGAGATTATTTCACTGTTTATTACCCTCCGTGGTAATCTCAAATTCATCCTCAGGATGAGCATAGCATCTTCACTAGCTTTGGTAGTTTTTCTCATTCTTCTATATACATTAGCCTCAGGCACTCTCAGTAGCGAAATTGTTTCCCATGAGGGGAAAAAAACCCAACAAACTAAACAAAAACACGATTTCATTAATTCTGATCAGCTGACTCCAGGATTTCCAGGAATAAAGCAGTGACCTTTCCACAGCTCAGCATTTTGTCTCTTTTAACAACCAGGAGCAGAGGAAGGCGTAAGACCTCTGTATGAAATGCTACACATTAACAACCTTATGGAAAGAAGCTTTTTCAGACTCCAGATCTATGGCCATAGTCACATATCATGATTTAGATTTTTAGGGGCATAAAGTGTCAGGGACTGGCCACCCTGGTTATATGGCTGGATTTCTCAACTCTCCTGAAGTTCAATCCAACACCCTCACAACACTTCCCTGAGATGTGCAATATCTCTCCTTTTTGCGTATCAAGAGATAAAAATGCTGCCTCCCCATTAAAACATGCTAGCTCCGGTTTCTATCAGACTTACTGTAATCTTAGGTACTTTCCTGATCACACTCCATGGCAGTAAAATTACTGTACAAAGCCCTTCTCTGGGAATCTTACCCTAGGTCCTGGAAATCCTGGCTGTCCTGGAGGACCAGGAGGTCCAACATGCCCAGTGTCTCCTGGGGGTCCATGGGGACCCATCAGTCCTGGATGGCCTTTATGACCAGGTATCCCAGGATCACCTGGAGGGCCCTTTTCTCCTGGAGGGCCTTTTTCACCTTTGATGCCAGGATCTCCCTAAGTGAGAAAAACAACATTACTACCAAAATAAGAGGCAAACTTCTGATTTCCAAGCACAGCAAAACATGAACAGCTGAACTGGCAAAGTTACTGAATGCAACATCTGGTGCATTACAAATGATCCACAAATTATTACTGACGGAGAATGATTAAAGAGAGGGCTGGGAGGGTGGGAAGCATGGCAGATCTCTACAGGCCACACTTCACTCTTGAACAACCCCTTCCCCCAGCTGCTAAGTCAAAATAGCTCTCTCTTTCAACATAACGAAAAAACTAATAATACTCTCCAACCTACCCTCTCTCCTTTGAAGCCAATTTCACCCGGTTTCCCTGGTGCACCCTGCAACAAAAATAAGGGTGAGCATTCCACAATAACAGGCAATAATAAAACACATTGCTTTGCAATGATACTTGTGACCTGGGGAAAATTTATTTCCCTGTCAGTCCCACAGATTCCCGAGAGTTCCCTTTTTGCTCTCAAATACCAACAATTCAGGAAAAAAAAAAAAAATCAATTTGTTGCAACCCAGATTGCATCCTTGATGTTTTTTTCCCACGACACCAGCCCTACTTTGAAACAACTGGGAATTTGACTTACCTCTTTTCCAGGAGGACCTTTCTCTCCTGGTTCTCCCTGCAAGACCCAGAGAGTAAATTTAGCACTGCATGGAGTTGGAAGAAAGATCCTACCTAATAACCACAAGTCTTATTTTCTGTTTAGAGCCCAAGTTTTCTGCTGCACAGCAGCAGGTCTGGATGATTTATCCTTGTCCTACTGCTATAGGTCATTCCTGGAAAGACAGATCCTACTATTCAAAAGCATTTTTTTAGTAAAACAGCATACCATGTAAATGTAAATAACAGGAAGTAATTTCTAACAAACTAGATGAGAGAAGGACAGACGTTTCATTGAACGTGTGTTCCTGCTTTCTGTACATTTTATTCATTTCTCTTCCAGACATTTCACAAAGCTTCATGCTTGGGCTGGTTTTGCTTAAGCCATGTCAATGTTATACCCATGACAGTCTAAAGATATAAGGCAAGTAAATTTTGTAAGTAGAGATACCATCTTGTATTACACCAGCTGAGATAATGGATATAGAGCCAGTGATGAAGCAAGTTTGAGCCTGAAAACTTGCTTGTATTTCAGAACTATATTAAATAACCTCAATTTTAACAAGTACCCCATTAGGATTTTTTTCTATACTCCACATTTATGTGATAATTAGGCAATACTATTTTGCATTTTAGCATTTAAATGAAAAAAATGTCACTGCAGTTCTGAAGTGCACCGATAAAGCAAACTCAACATTAAACTAGTTACTGCTAAAATTCTGCCCTCTTTCCCGTATCATGAATGGAAAAATTCATCTTTATAGTCCATTTACAATCCACACATATGATCATATCTATAATGTGTCCATGCAGGTGGTATTTTTCCCGTAACCTGGTAACACATAACATCTTCGACAGTTCTAGCATCTATACATGTATGCATGAGTAATGTAACTAATCACAGATGTGTAATCACATCAGCTCCAAATTAGGCAAAATCACTCACTCGAGTATTCCTTAGGGCTACTTCAGTTTTAAATGGCCACCGTGTTTGCTGCTTTGAATTAATTTGCCAGAGAAATATTTATTTCTCCTCTTTTCATCATGAAACTCCCTTTCCAATCATAAAAATAAAAAAAAGTCATCCTGTAGAAGGTTCAGCTCTGCTAGAGTCACATGAAAACCTTTTAAATCTCATTTTAAGTCACAACAGAGCTAGAAACAAAAATATTTACCTTACATTCACCTTTTCCATCCTTCCAATAGTATGTAATGCATTTGACTTGCCTTGGAAGAGCTAAAGATACTGGATCTCAAGGCTATAATATTTTCACGTGTATAGGTATTATTTTAGATCACTTTGAGAGATATATGAATGCTTTAATTACAATGTACCTCTGTGGTGGTAACAAAGGAATTTTCCTTGGAACAGCAACTATCAGAAATATGTGTTACCTACTCTAGGCAGTCCTGCTCTGGCAGGGGGGTTGGACTAGATGATCTTTCGAGGTCCCTTCCAACCCCTAACATTCTATGATTCTGTATTATCAGCCCTTAAAATTTCCCTATTTAGCCCTTCTAGGGTTCATGTAGAGATACAGTCCGAGAACTTAAATACCCCATACCAATACTAAGAAGAATGTTGAACCAGTCCAATTAATGCACATATTATCAGGGCTCACTGACAGGCCAGTTCGGTAAATGAGATTATCGATGTTCTTTCATATGAAAAATGCAATTTCTGCAGTCCAGTTTCCATTGGAAGTAAAGGTCAGATCTTGTGCTTGTGTTTTTACCTAAAGATGACTGTGTCCCATCTTCATCAGTCCAACATTTAAAAGCAGGTCATTAGTGGGTCTAATCCATCCCCAGACATACTTACAGGTGGTCCTCGGGGTCCTATGAAGCCAGGGAGTCCTGGGCTGCCATTTTCTCCTTTATTTCCTTTAGGACCCTTAGGACAGAAATGAGACAGACACTAGCAGCCCTTTCTTCAAAATCTCTTTTGCAGAGCATGCATTTACAGATACATTGGAACTGGGAAATTTCACTGTAGCAGCAGGACTCCCAAAACTGACAAGGAAAGGAAGAACAAAGTCATTTAGAACAGCAGATTGCAAACACCATGCTTGCATTATTAATAAGCTATGTGGGGTCCCTGTGAAGAGATGAAAAGGAAGTGACAATTCTGGAAGTGACAGGAGGTATGTTCAGTGGCTATTCTGGCACTGTACGGTTTATCAGGTGGTGTTGCAGAATGGAAATGCTGTGATGGGTGACGACAGGGAAACAGTGCAGGCACTGCTCAAATCTGAGAATGTAATCAACAGACTGCTACTGAATTGCTTTTTCGCCTTTATTTCAAGATTCAATTTAAAAAATGTCTGCCTTTTACTTGTCTCTTGTGACACTCTGATACTTCTTACAGACCACAGCAGCTTAAATGGCAGTTCATTATACATATACATATCCACTTACCCTTCTGATTTGTTTGGGTTTTTTGTTTTGGTTTGGTTTTTGATTTTTTACTCTTATTTTAACCTTTTCTTTCACAAATTTTTCCCCTACCTTCTAATTCAGAACATACCTCTTTTTCTTCTTAGAGTAACACTTCTCTTCATTTTAAGCCCATCTTGTGTAAAGAGAGCACCAACAAACCTGACTGGCAGAAAGCACATGGCTTTCAGGTATGCAGTCAGCCCTGGAAATTTCAGGGGCTGGGCTGCATTGCTGTGTGCAGGCTTACACATGAGCACTGTGAATTGGGACGGGCACTGTCAAACAGCAGATGCAAAAGGAGAAGGCTCTGTGCAGGTTTTACCTTGTGATTTCAAATCAGCAATGGTGAAGGAGGAAAAGAAAGCCTTATTGCTGATGTGATAAATTTCTTGCTTCTCTTTTTTTTTTTTATCCAAAATAAAAATGTAGTATATTGGCTTGTTGCACCACGTTGTGAAGGGAATTAGTGCATTTCTAGACAAGGCTGGAAATACATGGATTCATGCGCAGCACAAGGAAATACTTCCTATAATAACCTTTATGAAAGGGAAAGGATTCATTTTAATGACAGGGAAGGATACTGATGAGATGACTGACTGTTCTGTTGACCAATACTGTCTCATTGTTTTCTCTTTCTCATCCATCTGACTTTATCCCTTTTCAATCTCTTATGTTATTTTTGGACTGTAAATTCTCTGGAGCAGAGACTGCTGTAGTTCTGTGTTTGTGCAGGGAGCTGCCTGGTAAGTCCCTGGGTCACTAGCTGACTGTCTAGGTAATGTAATAACACGATGATTAAAAAATAACCCTCATTGGCACTCACAGGGCATCCCAAAGCCACAGTGGCCTGGCGAAAACCCAGAAAGCCGGAAAGCAGTAACAGGAATTGGGAACTGGGGTCAGTGTGATGAGAAGAAGAAATGAAAAGGCAATAGCAGAGATCCATGGGGTAAGAAGCAATAGCAGTGGTCCCAGGAATGTAAGAAGTTGCGTCAAGGAGAAAAAAGCAGTGGCATTAAGTCTTGGCGGCAGGAAGGCTGTGAGACTGCACCGCATCTGTAATCTGTGAGTTATCACTTCCCCATGCAGAAAGGTGTTGCTCGTTTCATTGAGACCACTTCAGGTGAGATATCCCTGCAGCACAATATGTTCTTGGGGCACAAGTCTGCGGCAAGGCTGAGGTTGCTTTATGGCATTGCAAGGGTCATGAAAAGGGCAGTCCTGCTGCAATTTTTGAGATTATTCTGCTATGCCTTCTTTTCTATTCGAATCTAACAGCCCAGCAAGCTGTAATGTCTAGGTGATCAGAGGGAAGAGCCCTGCATTGCAACATATGCTGCTGGACACAAAGGTACACTTGCATGGATTTGCTGAATCCTAAACAATTTTCAGCAGCAAAACAGACGTGAAAAAAACAAACCAACTCCTGTCCTCCTTACAGCTCTTCATTACCATGCTGTTCTTCCACACAAGATGGCCCCGGGGTGGGGGGGTCATTCTGCTTCATGATCTTGGTTTACTGCCCACTGTCTGTTCTTCCCCCATGTGCCTGGGGAGGATTTTTCTGCTGCTGTTATTCCTCTATGGCAGTCTGCCAACTCCCCGAGGCACTCTCCTTCCTTGTGACAACTCTGCTGGCTGCACAGTCTCTGCTTGGCAGAATTAAATCTACTGGTGAAGATGAGGCATGCCAATCTTTTTTCCATACCAGGTAATCAATCATTTCCTTTTCTGTGAGCACAGCTTTTGCTGGGAAAAACGATGACCCGGCTAGCAGCTCGGTTCCAGGAACATAGCCAAACCCCTTCCGGTGTTGTAGCCAGCCAGTGATTTTCAGATCATGGATCCACAGACATGGCAACTTCAGGGATGGTAAGCAGCCACACATAATCCACTCCATCTATACTTCAGTCACTTCTTGACACAACTGCTTGCTGCATGATTTTTCCTTTGAGGTACTTACTGGGTTACCTGCTGGGCCAGGTTCTCCTGCAGATCCAGGTGATCCATTCTTGCCCTATGTCAAAAGGAAAAATGTTAGTGAAGTAACATATATGACAACCAAAGATATCCACCTAATGCTACACCAGCAGGGATTTCTTCAGTGTTGTCCAACCTCTGCTCTAGGCAGACTGCAGAGTAAGGATCTCTTATTTTCAGTTGACCCTATGACTTCTGCATCCCCAGTTGCATGACTGACCCTATCTCAGGACAAAAAGTGAGAGATGTGGACCCAAATCTCTTAGTCTGAAGAGGACCTAACCAGCACACCTTCTCCTCCTCCATTTCTTCACCCTCATCCCTATCAGATGCAGCATCCTCCTGTACGGATGGAGTCACCTAATGTGGCAGCCTCAAGTTGCTATTGTTCAAACAAGCCCCTTTAGTCCATGTTTGAAGCACCTCTTGGCAACTCATTGATCAATGTTAAAGTGTTCTGCACTAGCTGACATATGTCCAGATCCCTCCACACCTTCCTGTGTTAGAAAACTTCCTCTCTCCAGTGACGGAGGTACATCCTGCAAGTTACTGCCTACAATCCCCTTCTCAGGGCTATCAGCTGAATCAGGGTCCAGAGGCCAGGCATCTATTTTTTAGTCTTCTCAGGCTTCCTCTTTTTTTGGGGAATGAGACAAACTCTTGTTCTAAAACCTTGAGGCATTTGATACTTGCCTGACACCAGACAACTCAGAATGAGCCACATCATCCTTTAAAAGGACCTGTTTTTCACCATTCCTTATCAAAATAGCTGGGCTGACCATCTACACTGACTAAAGTTTGGCAAGGTGAAATTCTACACTCTGCTCCTCTCTCCTCCCAGCTCACCATGCAGAGATGTTTTT